CCTTAACCAAAATCAAAGTAGACTCACTCACCCACACCAGATGGAAAACTCTACAGACTGTCGGTTCACACCCCATCACAAGCCAGCAAAACATCCACGAAACAAAGAAAGGTCTGTCACAGCCAAAAAATACACTATCGTCACAAGCATATCAGAGCGCAAAAGCAAAAACAAAATCTGCTAATAGGACAACAATACATCGCAAAGCAAAACCAGAACCCGGATGATTGGTCCCACATGAAAGCACCGCCACGCCAATATATACATCGTCAAACAGATATATATATAGTCAAAGGAATATCAGAGCGCAAAAGCAAAAAAAAGAAGAGGGAAAAAATAGAAAACGAATTCGTTGTTTAATCTTCTTCCTTACAAGACTCCCCTTGTTCAGAACCTCTTGCGTACAAGGCCGCCCACGTGGATGTAGGTTTTGAGCGGCGGCTGCCCCGCACCCCCGTGTGTCATATCGACCCACTTGCACACAGCCAAAAGGCAAAGCAGCAAAAAAGAGGAAGGGAACAGCCAAATAAAACAGATATATATCCTATTATCCTTACATCTGGACCTGGGACCTCCTCCTTGCACGCACGGATTTCAACCACACACCCTTGGCCACAAGAGCCAAGTCCCTTAACCCACAACAGCCATGACACGATGTTTGAAAAGTGGAACCACGTCCTTGGTGATATCCGTTAAAATTGGACCGATACAGAGAAAGAGAAGACTAGCAGATGGCCCCTGCGCTTTCAAGGATGTCACGCATAAAATCGAGAAATGGTCCAAATTACAACAACAACAAAAAAAAAAAGTGGAACCACACAGCACCGGGCCTCCTAGCTCAGTTGGTACACTCAAAACGAACTGAACTGTTGAAATACAGACCTGAGTTCGAATCCAGATGATGGCAGAATCAACTACCGCTAGTTATCAATTACCTCAGGCCGGGGTCAGCTCGACGATGATATCTCAAGGCCGTCGCCCTTTCTTGTTTTTTTATTTTCTTTATAATAATTAAAAAAAGTGGAAACATACTGGTCGTGATATCCACCCCAGCCCTGCAAGGCTTTAGCGTCCAACTCCACACACACACACACACACACACACACACCAAAAAAAAAAAAACAAAAAAAAAAAACACGGACACAGCAATTGCTGCCCAACTAGACACACACCACACGGAAAAGGCAATCAGGATTCGAACTAGGCTCTGTATTTCAACAGACCCAGGTCATGTACTGACCGAGCGACCCCATTCAAAGTACCAACTCGGCACACTGCACACGTCGCTCAGTCAGGTCAGTACATTACCCCCAAAAGCAGGTACTGAGGTAAATAGGCAACGATCCCGCTGCTGCTGGTGGTTGATGGATAGATATAGATATAGATATAGATATAGATAGACAAAGATAGATATAGATATAGAAAGGTGCATATGGATATATATCGACTGAGATAGATATAGATAAGGTGCTGTTGACATCGTCTTTCCTGTTGTTGTTGTGTTTTTTTTTTCTCCTAAAAAAAATCATTTATTCCACCAAGCGAATGGGTGTACGATCCAGACCATTTCTCTCCCGGCTTCACCCGAATAGAACGCCTGTGTCATTATCGCTGTATCTAGACTGAAAGTTGTCCCAATACAGCCACATAATGACCCGGCGTTCTACTCGAGTGAAGACGGTAGGCTGATCCTCTACTTCTTCCCGCTCTCCTCCTCCTCCTCCCCCGTCCCCCATTCTTCCCACCCTTCGCCCTCCCCCCTCCTTTCCCCAATCATTGTCGCTGTATCTATACTGCAATTTGGCCCAAATACAGCTATAACGACCGCGCGTTCTATTCGGAGGAAGATGGCGGGTTCCACTCTCGCCCCGACTCCTTGCCGCTGTATCTATACTGCACGTTCGCCCAAATACAGCTATAACGACCGCGCGTTCTATTCGGGGGAAGATGCCGGGTTCCACTCTCGCCCCGACTTCTCCATTTCCGACCGCGCAGTGGATTCGAAAATCGACGATAAACAGGAACGAAGAACCATGCGTTCTATTCGGGGGAAGAAGGTAGGTCCCACTTGATGACAAGCGCAAGATCCATTATTACCTCAGTACTCAATTCCTTTATTATTATTTTTTTTTTTCCCCAATACCTGTCAGTCCTACTACTAGAGGTGATAAGAGCACCCTCCCCTACTCCCGGCCTCACCCGAATAGAACGCCCCCGTTCATTATAGTGGGGAGCCGCACCTAGATTGCGGAGGGGGAGAAAAAATTATTATCGCTGTGTCATTATTAATCGCACCTACATTAGGTCAGTATATGGGGGCAACTTTCAGTCAAGACACAGCGATAATAATGACCGGGGTGTCTTATTCCGGTGAAGACGGTAGACGGTAGGACCTAAACGGGTCGCTCTATCTATTGGTGCGGGGCCGCACCTACTTTTTTTTTTTTTATGTTCACTTTT